ATTCCTTTTGATGGCTGCATAATATTCCATTGTATATATATACCACATCTTCTTTATCCAGTCATCTGTCGATGGACATCTTGGCTCTTTCCACTGACCTGTCCTTCTTAGTAGAGCTAGGATTTTGAAGTTAGGTCAGGAGGCAGGAGAGGAAGACAGGAACAAGTCAGAAAAGGTCACATGGCCAGTGAGAAACCCTTTGTGGCAGGGGCACAGAAAGAACTTTCAAAAGCTGTGTGACTGATACGCAGTTATAAGTTGTTGGTTGAAATGTCTCTACGTAACTGCTTCTGGCAGTCCACAAACCTGTGTTACTCTGCTACACACAAGGGCCTGTAGTTGGGGCTCGGGGGCACATAGGGGAGCTAAAGGATGATAAGTCAGTTGCAAGTAGATGACAGGGCTGGGGAAAGCGTTGTTGGACTTTCCTTGCATATGAGCTGGAAGTTTAAGCCTTTCTTGTCTAAGGGGCAAGGTGACATGAGGTCTGTAGATGAAAACAGTTCATTGGCCTTGGAGGTCACTGAGCGCACAGCAAGAGGAACTTCACTCTAGTGATGGAAGCAGATCTCACTGGGCTGAAAGGGAAAAGTGAGGAATTGAAGACACCCTTTTGAGAAGAAAGCTGTCTGTCTCTGAGTAAGCCAAGGGCAGAGTCTCTGATCATTCACTTGTATCTGGAAAGGACTGCATCTTGCATTCTCAGAATTGCTGTTTACCTTAAAGGTATATTTGTAATCTCTTACAGTCAAATAATAAGTAGATCTGGCTGTTTAATGAAGGAGCCTCCAACATTTGAAAATACAAAAGAGGGATGTCTGTGCTTTGTATGATTGAGACTGTGCCAGTCTCGTTAGATTGGGCACATTAGACATTGGAAGGAGAGTTGTTTGCTCTGTAATATGATCTCATATTGGTGGAGCTAGACCACATAAGAAATTATTTCTAACTGTTCCTTTAGCACTGGAGATATGTATTGTTTCCCATCATTAAACTCCTTTAGAATGATATTTTGCAAGGACAGACTGACGTACCCTTAGAATTCCACGTTCTAAGAGATTGTTTTGAAATTCTAGCCTTCCATTTTTTCCCCCTGGTATTTCAAGTAATTTACATACTTGTAATAAAAAGGCAGGGGTGGGGATGGAATCAAGGACTCAGCTATTACAATGAGGAACAGAGTAGAAAGTGAAAGTCCTGCACAATTGATGTGGAGGGTAGGGTGAGGAATATCTGCTGCATAAGTAATTGGTTATAGAAATTGATTTTACATTTTGTTATGACCAGTTTGTAGTGGCTGTATCAGAATATCCTGTTTGGTGCCTTTTGGAACAGGGAGGCCCCTTGGCACAGAGCAGGGTATGAGGGCAGGAGACCTGGAGCTTTCTTTTTGGGTAAAGATGGGTTTAGGGGCCAGCAAATGGATCTGCTCTCGGGCAAAGCTGCTCTGGGGATCTCCTGCCTATTTCAGGGGCGTCTTTACCTCTTCTTGCAAACCTTCCTCTTGTGTCTCTCACTCCACCTTTGGTTAGTTATCTTGGTTTGGCCTCTGGAGCTCACCATTGCACTGGAATTTTGGGGGTTGCCACCAAATGGCCAGCAGTGAGGACTTGGAGATATGGCAGACAATGCAGAAGCAGAGGGCACAGGCTAGAGGATGAGCTCAGGGCTTTAGGGCCCCACCCTGTGGGGGACTCTGACTGTCAGGGTGGCAGGCACCGAGAGCAGGCTGCAGAACCAGACTGAGGGGGTTTGGGAGCAGAGCTAGGACATACTTTGCATAGTCTGAATTTTTCTTCAGCCAGAGTGAACAATGGTTGGTGAAGTCATGGAGTCCCCAGGGGAGGCCCCCAGCCTGGTTTGTGCCTCTGCCACCACTGCTGTTTGAGGATTCAGCCACTGCCCCTTCCTCAGACACACATTCCCCTCTGACTTTGGGAAATCAGTAGCAAACCCTGCCACCTAGTGGCAAACAGACACACTAGACCAGTCTGGCTGAAGAGATCTTTAAAATTACCTCCCATAATTGCAAAGATAACAATAAAAAACAATAAAAAAAAAAAAAAACCATTTTTGAATGACAACTATTTCTAATCCCCACAACAATCTGTTAGGTTCTTAGTATCCTTATGTTATAGTAGGGAGGGTGAGGACATAAAAGACACTTATGAGGTCATAGTGAGGAAGTGATTAAATGAGATGAATTTAAGAACAATTAGAATAGCACTTCTCAAACTTTGGCCACCTGGAGGGCTTGTTAGAACACAGGAGGCTGGGCTCTGAAACCCGCAGGGTTTCTGACTTGGCAGATCTAGGGTGGGGCCCGATAACCTGCATTTCTAATGAGTTCCCAGGTGGTGCTGATGCTGCCCATCCAAGACCATACTTTGGATGCACTGGCTTAGAACAGTGGCTGGCTGGTTATGCATCAGGACTTTGTCAGACTGTGGACAATACCGCAGAATGTGAGATACAGTTCCTGCCCTCTGAGGATTTACAGCTTGGCTGGGGAAGAGATGTCTTGCAAGGATGAAAAGGTTGCATCAATGAAAAGACCTTGGACAAGTTTCCTACACATAATAACTAGGTCAGAGCAGAGTGGGAGCCCTGAGGGCTGCAGAAGGCCTCTCTGGAAGGAGTGTCGTGGAAAATGAGTGAGATTTGGGTGAATAGGGCAAGGGGAGTCCATACAGGTAGGGGAGGGCAGAACAATATTATGAGAATAAGGAGAGGTAGAAAGGGAGAACCCATTGAGAAGTACCTTCTGTGCATCAGGCATGGATCCTGCATTTTCTTACTTGTCTCATTTACTCTTCAGAACAGCCTTATGAGGGAGATAATTCTGTCCTCATGCTGCAGGTGAGGAAGCTGAGGCTCAGAGCAGTCCGGTAAGCTGCCTAAGGGTCATCTAGCCAGTGGATGGTAGAGCTAGCATTCAAACCCAGGTCAAGCTATCTCTGTGTTTTCCCACTCTGAGAAGTTGCCCAGGTGTGTAGGAGGCTAGGTGGGATTAGGGTGAGGCTCTCATTCCTAGGTCCCAGCAAGTGCAGGGGTGCACCTGAGTGAATGTGTCTCTTTAACTGTTGGGCCCTAGATGCCTGGCTTGCCCCAGCCCAGTCCTGTTGGAGAAGCAGTGAGAAAACAGCAGGACTGCAAGGTGGGTTGGGATCAGGTGCTAGAGAGTGGTGAGTTCCAGGCTGAAGGGTTTCAGTTTTATTTCATAAGCAGTGGGGAGTCATTGACGTTTTTGGAGCAAGGGAGTGATTGGATCCAAGCAGTTGACACTGTTCAGTGTGGACACTGGTTAGGAAGGTCTCAGAGCGATCTGGGGGAAGATGATTAAATCAGTATGTGGTCTAGAGTAGTAGAAAAAGAAAAGAGCTGGTGCCAGCCACTTCCTTTAAGAACTTCCAGAATTTGGCGTGAGGATACCAGCAGAGGACAAGTCTCGGTGACTGGGGAATTATGAGGCATTTCCTAGAAATAGACACACACCCATTTGGAAGAGCTGACTGACAGTGAGAGGGAGAGGAGGAGGCAGGTTTCATCACCTTGTACTTGAAGCGGTGGGTGTGGGGCAGTCAGACTGCCTGGTAGGGAGGTTGATGCTCCCAGGTTGTTGGAGAACAACGGTTTTGGAGTCCTCTGCATGGGGAGGGAGTGACTGAGGTCCTGAGCGTCTGCTTTGATTGTTCTTTGGGGGTTCTTACAGGGCTCCCTCATGTGCCTGGCGCTGAGGGTTTACTCAGCCATGTTTCCAGAAGCCTGGCAGACCCCGTGCTGGTCGTCTTACCCGTCTTCCTCCTCTCTCTGCAGCCTGCCCCTGGACCAGACCCTTCCTCGCCAGGGTCCTAGCCAGTCACTGTCCCTCCCAGAAAACTACCAGACTCTGCCTAAGAGCTCCCGACATCCCTCGGGGGGCTCCTCGCCTCCTCCCCGCAACCTGCCGAGTGACTACAAGTACGCGCAGGACCGAGCCAGTCACCTGAAGATGTCGAGTGAGGAGCGCCGGGCGCACCGGGACGGCACGGTGTGGCAGCTTTATGAATGGCAGCAGCGCCAACAGTTCCGGCACGGCAGCCCCACGGCCCCCATGTGCGCCGGCTCCCCGGAGTTCACCGACCAGGGCCGGAGCAGGAGCATGCTGGAGGTGCCGCGCTCCATCTCTGTGCCTCCGTCTCCCTCCGACATCCCTCCTCCGGGCCCCCCGAGGGTCTTCCCACCCCGGCGGCCGCACACGCCAGCAGAGAGGGTCACCGTGAAGCCACCGGATCAGCGGAGGAGCGTGGACATCTCGCTGGGGGGCTCTCCCAGGAAGGCACGGGGCCACGCCACCAAGGTGAGACTCCGGAGGGCTGCCAGGCAGCTGGGTTCAGCACGAGGGCGCCAGGACCCTCACGTGGTTTGAACACAGATTTGAGCAGTTTCGAATGAGGAGAGGTGACACCTCTGTGGTACTCTCAGGTGCCAGGTGCAGCACTAAAGGCTTACCGCCACCCGATGAGGTAGGTGCGATTATCATGCACATTGCACAGATGAGAACTCTGAGGCATTGAGAGACGAAGAATCGTCCAACTGGAAGTCTGCAGGAAAAGATATCTGTGTTCAGTCGGTTCAATAATTTATAATAACCCAACTTCAGCTTTACCTCTCCAAGGGGCTCTCCCCGTTTACCGTGGTTTATAACCCAGTAAGAAAGACGTGGACCCCCCACAGATGAAGAGGGGTAGTGCTGTGCGGCAGGCCGCCCCGGCAGAGAGGGGCAGAGGCTTCGGCCCACAGGCTGACTTCTTGTCTCCCCCTTGTAGAGCTCCTCTCACGTGGACCGCCGCTCCATGCCCTCCATGGGCTACATGACCCACACGGTCAGCGCTCCCAGTCTCCATGGAAAATCGGTAAGCCGCTCCTTGTCTCCCCCGCCCCATGAGTATCAACCGCCTGCAGGGTGCCGGCTCAGCCAGTGTTTCCCCCAGCTCGCCCCGAGCCAGTCACCTGCAGTCTGCAGGGCAGCTGTCAGCCCCCACGTTAGAGATGAGAACGCTGAGGCTCAGAGAAGTCCAGTGACTTGCTCCGTGTCATCCAGCTGACTTGGGGTCCTCCCCAGATCAGAGGAAGAGCTTGGGGGAAGTGAAGGAGAATGTGGGCTTTTCTTCTCTTTCAGGCAGCGTTTTCGCAGGCACCTGCCTTTCTGCCATTAGCTCCTCTCCTCTCGTCCAGGTCATGGCTTTGGTTAGTTAACTTTGTCTTCAAAGCTCGAGTCGGGGTGAGGTTGCACTGTTGGTTGCTGTTTCCTGAAAAAAAAAAAAAACCACAAAAACAAAAACCTGCTTCCTGCAGCCCCTTTTCTGCCAGTGCCTTTATTTGTCCTAATGACAGAATTAATGCAGTAATTACTTAATGGTGTCACATCAGTGCTGTCCCGGCACTGGGGTGAAGAGTAATTATAGCGTCGTGCTCCTGCGGTGGCTAATTTCCTTGTGATGTGTCTACACACCTGCAGCTGGAGGAGCTCTCGCTGCTTCTCACCCGCTTACGGCGGCACCAGGCCAGGTTGGCCAGTGTGCGAAATCTCGCCGTCGGCCAGTTACTGCAGCACCAGCTGACCTTTCCCGCCTGCCAGGTCAGCGCTTCCGGGCTCTCTCAGGGCCGGGGCCACCCCGGTGGGGGGCAATGGAGTGACATGCCGGCCCATGTTTTCTTGTGCCCACGCTCTAGTCTGTATTTGCTGTCTGGCTCGTTCCCTCCTTCCCTGCCTGTTTGCTTCTGATCGCTATTGCCAGACACTGCACAGTGGTGGGGGGGCCCACGCCTCTTGGTGCTGGGGAGGAGCCTGCATGTGGTGTGAGGGACCTCAGCTGTGGCTTCTCCGGCTGTGAGTAGTGACTGCCAGGCTGGTGTGTGGTCATGTCCGAAGGGCTGTGCTGGCTGTCATCCTTGTCGCCGCTGTGGCCATCCTTGGGATGTGGAGAGGTGTGTTTCATTGGTGTCAACCCGGAGGGGAGAGGCAGAGTGCCCTCTCTGATCTGGGCAGTGTCCTGCTGATGGAAAAAGCATCCTCACATCCCTTATCCTAGAGAACCTCACTGTACCTGGGAGAGGTTAGGCAGGACAGGCGTTACTACCACACGCAAGGCACTGGATCCAGAGGGGGAAGTGACTTGCCTGGGATCCCTCAGCCAGTGGCATGCAGGCTGGAGCCAAAATTCAGGTCTTATCTGGCATAGTGTTCTAAACCTTCTGGGACATGGAAGTTTGCAGGCAAGCTCCTCAAGGAGTGGCCAGGGAATTGCCCTCCCAGGCATCTTGAGCAGTTTAACGATGTCCATACAAGATTGGTCCCCCTGGGCTGCACAAAAGTAGGCAGGGGACAGAGGAGGAAGATGACAGGAGTGTCACCTTCCTTAACTGTCCTGTTTTAGTGAGACCTGAGGGGCTCAGGAAATATACTTGGAAAAATGAATGTAAGGGAACATGTGAAAAACCCCTAAGGTGTAAATTTGGAGGATTTTTAGTAACATTCCTCTGCTCAGTCCTCTTTACTGCTGTTGAAAGTGTATAGGGACTGGGCTGATTGGGGAAGTAGCAATGGGTAAGGGGACAGTTTAGGGATAGAAATAGCATCTCGGAAGTCACCAGTGTCCCTCTCCATGGTCCTTCAGGTCTTCTCACGCTTAAAAGCACAGCCTGAACATCTCACATTGTTTACTTGTTTGACATCAGAGATGTAAACAGGGCCCTCTCCCGCAGCTCTGACTTGCCTCGGTTTGCTGGGAGACCTCTTAGCTGGTTGAGAAAGTGGTGCCTGGGCCATTTTTTCTTAAGCTTTTACAGCCCCTCTGCCTAACAGTTAGCTTCTGTGGTCTGTACATGGGAAACATAGGTCCTAGAAAATCAAAGAGTCTTTTGCTTATTTTCACTGTTCCTGGTAATTACACTGAAGAACTCAACAGATTGTCAGAGACAGTGCAAGCAGATAGGTCTGACACTGAAACTTCCTCAACTAGCTCCTGACATGGCCCCATGCTGAGCAAAGGGAGCTGAAACTTCCAGTAGCTCCTGGGGCTTATCATCCTGGAACCCAGGGTCATGTCAGGACCTACCTGGATCCCCAGATCCTCTTCCTGCCCCTTCAAGGCATTTAGTCACACTAATCAGAGGGTCATTTTGCTTCATGCATGTGAAGTGGGCCAGTACAAAGGTTTGATGACAAGGATTGGAGCATTGGTGATTGATGGGCCTCTAGCTCAGGTGTTGCATGTCCTCGTCCAGCTAGACCTCTCCAGTTCTGTCTCAGGAGCTCACCACTGGCCTCAGCTGCACTGCTCTCCTAAGCCCTGTGGTGGTATGTGTGCTGTCTCCCTCCTCCCCACCAAACTGTCCCCCCAGCCAACTGCGGGACGAGCTGGATCTTCCCCACAGTGACCTGCAAGATCCGCCATGCTGAAAGAAGGCTCTGAGCTACACTGAGACATTTGCGCTTCCTCCATGGCCCTGAATGTGTTAGCCTGCTACCCTTGACCCCAAAGCTGTGTAATGTCAATGATTCACACATGAAGCCCCAAGTTTTGGAAACCCTTGGTGTTCATAACTGGCTTTTCTCTTTCTGTGCTTCATTTGAAGGCTGACGATACCTACCTCCAGCTGAAGAAGGACCTGGAGTACTTGGACCTAAAGGTGAGGGACGTCAGGCGTCTTGTCTCCCTTGGACTCTCTCACCTTTCTGAGCTCAAAGCCAAAGGCTGTGCAGGTCTTATCAAATCTGGATCCCAAATGAAGACATCTCCTGTCTAAGTCAGAAGAGTTTTATTTCTTACTGCCTCCAACTCTAGGCTCCGTTCCTTGTGAGTTCTGCTATAAGATTTCAGCCTTATGGAATGAGGGCACAAGATCTTGATCTCTTCCTATCCTTGGTCAGGACCCAAAGACTTCTAAATAGTAACTACCTCCTTCTTCGGAGCTGCCAGTGGGGTTGGGTTTGGTTCATAGAGTGCCACTGACGTGTTTTCAGCTACGAGTATTTTGGTGGATTTTTTGGTTTTGTTGCTGGGGGAGCAGGTTCCACATGGAATTCTGCAGCTCTGGGGCCCACCGTGGTCTCCCATATGGATAGTCTTCCATCTGCATTCAGGAGATGAGCACTGGGTGCCTTCCTGTAGGTGATAAAGCTTCAGGCTCGAAATCAGCCTTCAGAGCACAAAGACCAAGAGAAAGCTGGTGGAGAAGTGTGAGAGGCATTCTGCATGAAAGAGAGCTGCTATTGTTCCCTTACCACAGCTCTCTGAAAGCTCCCACTGTGAAAAGCACATCTGAAGCCTAAACCATGAAATTGACTGAAGGAATGTGACCTTTAATTAACTGTGCACGTGAGAGAGTGGGGGGGGGGCTGTGGGAGGACACCCAGGTGACTGCCATGGGGTGTGCCTCCCCCAGCTCCCCTGGGTACTTGGCTTGAGGTATTTTTAACATGGGGATTGTCATCCAGCCTTGTAGAAGCAAGAGGATGAACATTAGGCCCTGCGGCAGCAGATGGGGGGGCCTCCCCATACTGAGACAAGATCAGAGCCTTTGATTAGGAATCAACTAGTTAGCTTCCGTATCTGATGAGCACTTGCTGTGTAACCAGCTCTGGAGAAGCCTAAGGGACATGTAAGAGAACTCGCAAATGGCCTTGGTTAGAAAAAGAAAATCTCCCAAAATAACACAGACTTGTTTATAATGAGCTTACAAAGATCTGTCTGGCCTAGTGCTCAGAGTTGAGATAGTGAAGGTCACCATGGGCTGTAATGCTGGAAAGGCTTCTAGAGGAGGTGGCATGTGTTTGGAGCCTTGAAGAGCCAGAGGGTTTGAGTTGGTTGAAATTAAAGGGAAGGGAACAGTGGGAGCCAAGGAGAGCCAGGGGGAGGGTGATGTGGCTAGGGCTGGAGAAGGCAGACTGCCCATGTTCCTGATTCTTTAGGAAGGAGGGGTGCAGTGAACGAAAGTCAGACTTGGCTTTCTGACATGAGCAAAACAAGGAGGGTTCTCTCAAAACCAGGACATTTTCTAGCTTATGTGACAGATCACACAGAGCATGAATAAGTATTATAAGTATGGTAGTAATACCTCACGATGCAAAATGTGCAGCCCAGCCCATCCTGCTTTGCTCTGATCCTGGGCAGGGTCCTTTCACCATGCTCACCACCCCCACCTGACCTGGAGAGAGGTCCACCACCTTTGCCGGCCCTGTGTTACCGCCTGGTCTCCATTTCCTGGCCTCCCCAATAGCCAGTCACCATGTTAGCTCTCAGTTCTTCTCACCCCTGCCCCAGGGCCATGTAGTCAACCAGAAGTATTTATGGAACATTCATGGTAAGAGAGCTGGTAAGAGAGGTTTGGCTCCCCAGCAGCACAGGTGTACCTTGAAACAGTCCTCAGAGTGCTTGGTGCATGGTGCAAGAGAGAGCTTAGAGAGCCTGAGCTGGAGTAATAGGAAATCTCTGTCTTCTGATTCCTGTTTGTATGGGAGAGCAGAAACTCACAGCTGATCCTGGAGGGAAGATTCAGTTCAGGTCTGTTTTATTTCAAGATCATAGAATTTGAGTTAAAAGGGATTTAAAGGGAGAAACTGAGGCACAGGATAGCAGAGCCAGGAGTCCTTGGGTGTCCTGACTACCAACAAAAGCTTAGTAACAATAGAGGGCATAATGTGTGACGGTCACTGTGTGTTTTACTTCTGTTAAATTATGTAACTCCCACAGTAGCCCTAGAAGGAAGATGGCGTTACCTTTTTTTCACTGACTGAGGCTCAGAGAAGTAAATGACTTTCCCAAGGCCATGTAAGTGGCTACCGGGAAGTTGGTATTTAGGTATAGCTCTGACTCTTGAAACTTGTGCTCTTGAGTTGCCTTGCCTTCCAGCCTCTCTTAAAATTCTGCTTCCACTACTGTGGACCCAAAGGCATTTCAGTTTTTGATGGAACTGAACTGGGGTCATTATCCCAGGAAGTGTGTTTAATGTGATAGAGGCAAGGTGCGTCCTTGGCGTGTTTCACTAGCTAGGAGCTGTCTGCACCCAGAACATTAACTAGTGACTTTTTGGAAGTTGTCACTGTCATGGAAAACAGCTCTGTTGATACCAGAGTTTCCCCAGTCTTATTTTTGTTATTCCAGTTGCTAAGCTCCTCTCAGAGAACTGTTCCCCCAAATGAGCTGCACTGGTAGCAGGGAGATGCTGGGGTTTGTGCTGTGTGAGTGGTCTGTCTGGCGTGGCTGCCAGAAAGGTTGGCACCACCTTGGCCTCTCTCCAAGGTACAGAGTCCCCACATCAGGGAGGCAGTGAATCTGCTCTGCTCTGCTCAAACCCAGCTGGGGCATAGGGTTCCCAGATGGTGTCTCACTTCAGGACCCAGATGAAGAAAGGGCTAGTTGCAAAGCAGAGGTGTTGAGGGCCTATAGAACCATGGCTGAGGATGTATTAGGCAGGATGCTTTTGTTTGAAGGTGTCTGAAACCCAAATCAACCTGCTAATAAGCCAAAGAGAGAATATACTGCTTCTTTTAGCCAAGGGCTACATCCCAGGGGCTCAGGCCATGTCACCACTGTTCTAGTTTTCCTGGTGTGTGGGCAGTGCCCACATGGCAGAGAAGGTGGCCACGTGCAAACCCAAGTTCACTTTCTCCCAGCCCAGCATCCCCATGGGTGGCCACTTGCAAACCCAGACTCCCTGTGGCGTGAGGGAGGGGTTCCCTAATGGGAAAGCATGCTGGGCAGAAACAAGAAAGTCAGCAGCGGTTAGCACAGCTGCACTGCAGAGTGGTGGAGAGAGTTCTGGGTAATTCAGGAGACAGAGACAGTCTACAAAGCTCTGAAATGCTACCATGTGTCTTCTGTAGCTGCAAGGGGGAATGAAGACAAATGGAGAGCATGTGTCAACTGTACTTCAATTAAAAAAAAAAAAAGACAAGTGGATAGCAGCTACAGGTAGAGGGGTTTCTAAAAGGGCCTGCTCAGGTTGTGGTGAACCACCCCCCCGTCTCTAGGGTGCAAACGAAGCTAGATGAGCCCCACGGGGCAAGCAGGGTGTGTGACTGTGTCAGGAAAACCCCAGGGCCCATTGGCTCTGGAGATTGCAACATGCTCAACAAAATGAGCTGATGCGGAGCTCAGCCTGGGTCCCTGAGGTGAGGGCCTCTGTGGACACAGCTGAATGGGCCCTGAAGCCCAGCCGGGGTCTGGGGATAGCGGTGACACAGCCCCGCCATGCCCAGCTGCTTATGAGAGGTTCCTCTGGGTTCTTGGGGCAGGGAGAGGAAGGAGGGAAGCCTAGCTGGAGAAAAACAGCCTCCCTATCCCCAGCTGGTTGGCCTAGGCTCCCCTATGTCCCTGTTCCAAAGGCCACAGACTTAAGGATCCAAACCCTCCCTTCACCACCACCACCACCACCAGTCAGCTGATGCTCAGCTTCCAGAATCAGTTGGTGGTGTTTGCTTCCCCACATGTGGTGGGAGCTTTTTCTCCCTAACGTGAGCCTTTCTGTTGTGGTGCCAAGGGCTCAAACGAAGGTGTACTGCATTCTTTTAGAAGACACTCTGGATTAACGTTCTTTTTGCACAATGTTTACTTGTCTGACGTTTTACTTGGTGGTGCCAGGATGGAAAGGGCTCCACCTTGATGAAGCATCTGTTCCTGCCTGGTGGTGGTTGGGTGCACATTATTCATTATTGCACTTGGTCTTCTCAGCAGCTTCAAGCAATAGGAATGATTCTCCCCACCTTCCTTTCTCACCTCTGAATGTGGGGCTCAGCAAATCTGAATAGTGTTGACCCTTGAACATTGTGTGGGTCAGGGACACCAACTTCTTGCACAGTTGCAAATCCAGGTATAACTTGATCCCCCCCAATTTAACTTTTAATAGCCTACTGTTGACAGGAAGCTTTACCGGTTAACTAAACAATTAACACGTATTTTGTATGTTATACGTATTACAGACTGTATTCTTATAATAGAGTAAGCTGGAGAAAAGAAAATGATAAGAAAATCATAGAGAAAAAAATTTATAGGACTGGACTGCATTTATTGGAAAAAATCCACATATAAGTGGGCCCTCATGATTTAAACCCATGTTCTCAAGGGTGAGCTGTATTAACAAGCCCTCCAGGTGATACTAAAGTTTGAGAATCACTTTTTACAGTAGTAGCAGTTCCCAGTCTTGGCTGCAAATCAGTATCATCCAAGGAGGGCTGTTAAAGGATCTGGATGCTCAGGCTCCACCCCCAACTAATTTATATCTGAGTCTCTTGGAGTGCGACTCAGGCATCAGTTTGTGTTTTTTTAAACCACCTAGGTGATGCTGGTGTTCAGCCAGGGTTGAGATGCACTGTTTGAGCGGGTAGGGACAGCGTTCCCTCAAAGGAGCTGTAAGCATTTGGGATCACTGGTAAGACATCATTATTTAGATGAACATAGTGTGGAGGTGAGGGTCTGGGGGACTGAAGGTGGAAAATATGGGGCAGGGATGAGACTAATGCCTAGCGCCATCCTAGTGATTCAGTGTCTCACGGCATAAGGTGAAGGAGGACAAAGGAAGAGGCAAAGTTTCCTCTTGCCTTCTGCAGGAGGAACTGGAAGGAAATGGGCCCTGACATTGGCCCTCTCCCATAAACTAGCCTGCACAAAGATGCTTCAGGCAGAGCTTCTTGTCCTCCATTTTATCGGCGAGGGAACGGAAGTCTGGAAAGGCCAGCAGCTGGGAAGCAGCACCACCAGACTGAGACATGATCATTTGAATTGCACAGCACACATCCTCCTTAAGGTTTCCCCTGGCCAGTTCCCCAAATTCTGGCTCCTTCAAGTGTCTTTTGATGTCTCACCTGTTACGTTTTGTTATATTTGCCTTTTTGTTTGGAACAGATAAAAAATAATGAACCTTTGATCAACGTGCTTTACAAAGTGCTGAAGAAGTCAGCACGGGGCTGTCGGCCCAGGAGAAGCGTAAGATGATCTGATCTGTGTCTCCAAGCGGGGCCATTCCATTGCTTCTGGCTCAGCGCCGACCTCATCACTTGCTTAACCAGGGGCTCTCCTGACTGCCCCCAGGCTTTCTGCAAGTCATTTTGGTTTATTTTTTTCTCCTTTTGAAGCTCCCGTCAGCATTTTGGCTGGTGCACCAGGCTGAGCCTCTCATCTGCAGTATTCTGTGACTCCATCTTTTGTGCTGCCACAGGGGAGGGCGGGGCTTGCCTGGCTTGCCACCAGCTTGTGTTGTGTTTCCATTCTCTCTCATCTGCCTCCATGGTGAGGACTGACTTCGACCGACACCAGTGTGGTCTGTGTAGTCAAGCGTGAGTTCCTTGGGAAGGAACAGCAGTTCCTGGTCACCTTGGAGGAGCTGGGGTATCCTGAGATTCCACCGTGGCCCTGGGATTAGGGTGGCTTTTCTTCAGGGCAGGGTGTCGGTATTTGAAAACAGTCTAAAGCAGGGCTAGAACAAGATGTTCCCCCCCCTGCCCAGGGTCCCCCCTTTGACTGATGCAGAAATAGCACCTGAAATATGGCCAGCTTTTATAGCTTTCCAAGGGAGGCTGCAGGTTGGGAATCAGGTGCTATGTGCAGTCATCCTGAGCCCTGAGAAAAGGTGTGTTGGGATGAGGTGAAGGGTGAAGTAAAATGCTTGGGTGGCCTTCAGTTCTTTTCTGGTGCACAGACTCTTTCAAAGGGATGAATGCCCACTGACTTCCACTTTTTCTGGTGACAGAGGTGCTGGAGACCCGTAGTTGACATTTTAAATGGATCAAAACATTGCTATCACAAAGCACAGTTTAAAAAGGAAAATTAGATGTAACAAACTACTTGTGGATACTTTGTAGTAGCCTTGACTCTGTGGAACAAAACTGAATTCAGAAGTTTCAAGGGCCTCTGAGCTGTGTAAACACTTTCATGAAGCTCATGCTCTAAAGCCTATGCCCTTTATTCCATAGGAGTAGAGCCAGTTCACTTTATTTTGTTACATTCACAGGTTCATTTAGCAAACAGTTCCCAAATATCCTTAATATACTGGGCCCTGACTGGACTTTAAGGATACAGAGAAAATATGAAAATATGTCACAGTCCCCATAGTCACCCCTAATCAGGTTACTGTCGACTGAGGGGAGACAGAGCATATCATCTGATGTACGAAGGCCCATAGACTGGGAGACACGAGGTATGGAAGGACCTCCCCTGAAGGGCGCCAGACCCATTGGAGGGAGGGAGTTCTGGAAAAGCGGCGTGTTGACTGTTGAATCTCCAGTCCTAACAGATTCAGCCATTTGAATTCCTAACTTACAGCACCTTAAATGCAGCCCTTAAAAGGGGACGAAAGAGATACTTCTTAGAAAAGAGGGGGTACTAATATTCTGAGAGGGGGAAAAAAAACATTATGTGTCAATCTACAACGGAAATGAAAGCACAGAAATTTAAGAGCATTTAATCAAGGGGCACATAGTCCTAAAACACTGACTTCTAAGAAATTCCATATTACTGATTTTTATAATGACTCTGATTCATCCCCGAAAGGTTGAATTTATATTCAGTTCTATGAAGGCAGTGTAGGACTTACTTTTAGAAACCTTTCCATCAAAAGGTTTAAAAGGTTCAGCTTTCTCAAAATGCCCTTTTTGTGTAGAATACGTCATTCCTTTCCTGATGGTGTTGGGTAAATGAGGCATTGCTCAATTAGATTCTCTGCCTTGCTATTTCAATATCAAAAAGATACCATCTTTTTGATACTCCAGTGAAATAAAGGGAATAGTTTTGGTAGGAGGAAAAAAATCTCCACAGCATATCTCAATTTGAAAATGATTTCTTCCTAGGAAGTGAGCCAAGGGTCAGCCCCTTGGAGAGTAGGCAAGCTCATTGTCCTCTGTTTTGATGGACTGTGACCCAGAGTGACCTCCTTACCTTTACCTGCTGGCTTCCCCTGAGTTTAAAGGTCCACCTCCCGCCTGGGAGGTCAGCTGTTGGGGTTCACCAGGATTAATTCCACCCCTCCCCCGCCATCTCCCTCCGCTTCCTCTCCGCACCTTTCCCAGCCCTGTGTCCTTGCAGGAGCCAGCAGTTTGTTTGTGGATTGTGGCAGTAGTCCATGTTTCCCGTGACTGTGTGTGTGTATGTATGTACACATAATCTGCCAGTCTGAAGAGCAGAATTTGGCTGGAGTTCTACTTTTTCCAGGAATTCTACTGACCTATATGTGTTTCCTTTTGACCTACCTCCAATGCAATAAGCATTTGGCGAGTGCCTTCCAGCGTGCCAGGCTTTATGTTCAGGACTGACTTTACCAAGATAAATAAGACGGTGGTCCCTGCCCTCTGCTGTGTGACCAAAGGGAGCATGGGAATGGGTTGGGGGTGTGTCTGCAGCCAGACTCCGTCCTCAGCCCAAGGCATGGAGAGGGCGTCGTCCCTTGACCTTGACCTTGACATTTGCTGATGATGATAAGGAGAAGGAGTGCAGGACAGTTGGGCACATGAACGACTTGAGTTCTGAGGGGAATGTTTGCCAGTATATTTTTGCTTTTTATTCACACAACTTACTGGACCTCTCAGATGGAGTAGGGAGAAAGTGAGCGCCATCTCTCCAGCAGCTGTCTGTCCATCAACACTGGGACCCTCAACATAGTATACACACCATCTATCTCATGGAAGAGAGGGGTTCCACCCTCTGTTTCCCTGTCACATCTGTAAAATGGAATTCAGCAAGATGGCCTTCCCTGCATGGGGCACATTCAACCTGGCTCTCCCTGACCATGGCTTGGCTGTGGGGGGTGGGGGTGTGCATCTGTGGAAAAGTCTCCCCACTCCCATCCCACACAGCTTTTGGCAAGTAGGAGATTAGGGGAAGTGAAAACATGGACTAAAGAGTTGGGTTTAGCTTTGTAGGGGTCAGTGGGAGATGCCAGCGTGATGCCCACATGAGGTCAAGGGAAGGATGGACAATGTTGTGAATGCCCACTGACCCATAAGTTTGGTGATTTTTGTCTACTGCTTTTTGGTTTCCTTTCTTGAGAGGACAGGGTAACTTGTGACTTATATAAATATGACCTGCCTCAGTTACTCAGGGATCAGTTGAAAACCCCAGCCAGGAATTATCCAGGTTCCTTCATCCCTTGACCTGATTTTCCTCCCAAATGATGTAGAGTGAGAAAGGCTGACCTTGCTCGTGGGGAGGTAAGCAGCTCAGGGGCTTCCTTAAACTAAGGCTTAGCGATGCCCCAGGGACTCACTGGTTCCTCCTGGTCCGCCTCCCTGCCCTGGGCTGGGGGTCATAGACTTCTGTAACATGGGTTTGACCCCAGGTTCGGTAGCAAAACTCTGTCTTTTAAATCTTCCAGGATTCGTAGTGAACTCATTTTGGGCAAATTAAGCTTCTACAGTCAATGTCTACTTTTTCTTTAAATTTGAGAAGTTTACAAGTGCTTCTTGGATCACAAAAAGGTTTTGGTTTTTCCCTAAAATGAAGTAGGCATAAAAATCAGGCCTCGCCTGAGTTTTTGCCCACTTCATGCCATAACCCTACCTGCCAAGACTTCCACACTCGTCCATCGTGGGGCTAACTCTCCTTCTCGAGATCTAATCCTGAACCTCATGGTTAATCTCCTTTAAATTGTTCACCTCCCAGATGACGGGCCGGGACCTTGTCAAGGATCGAAGTCTGAAGCCAGTGAAGATCGCGGAGAGTGACATTGACGTGAGTGAGCAGGGTGACAGGCTGACCCTCCCCCATCCCCCAGCTGCCTGCTACCACCGGACCCGAGGCGGGCAGCTTCACACAGGGCTTGGATGGTTCCGTAGCCAAAGGCTTTCTGATCACGCTTCAAGGTTGTGCCCTTTTCTCATCATCCCAGGCCCTCTCCAACCTGTTCTTGCTCACAGGTCAAACTAAGCGTCTTCTGTGAACAAGACAGGATCCTCCAGGACTTGGAAGACAAGATCCGAGCCCTCAAGGAGAACAAAGTATGCATCAGTTTTGCATAATCTTGGGCTGAGTGGAGGGGGGTTTTGTCATGCTGTCTTTTCTCAGATATAGATTGGACTCTCATGTCACAGGTATTCATTTATCCAGAACAGGTATTAGTTTATTCAGAACCATTACTGTGTTCGTTTCCAGGGGCATTTCTGCCTAAACCTGGAGGAAATTTTATGGGGAGACTTCAGCCTGCTTATTCCAAGTGCCACCTACCCCTCCTCCACCTTATTTCTGCTCTGGTCTACCTCTCCTTGGAGGCCTCGTGAGGTCAGCCTGGGAGAGGAGGGCTCTGCTGGCTTATATGTGATGACCCCAAGCCCTTGAACTCCATGGAAGGGGGTTGCCTTGGAGAAAGTGGCCACGCTTGTAACAAGACAGAGGCTGTCATTTCCTAAGCTCCTTTCCTCCTGATCTGGGCTACAGAGGAAGCGAGTCTGGATTGGAGGGGAGGAACAGGCCAGGGGCTCCCCATGTTTGGTTTCTTGGATACTTACTGTGATTTTTTTTTTTTCTTTGTTGAACTTTAAAAAGGTATTATACTTGTGATGCTGGAGATTCATGACATGCCCTTTTCTCCAAGAAAAGTTAAGAGAATTTTCCATCTAGTCTTTGATGTATCCTCATACATCATTTATCGCATAAAGAGTGGATGACCTTATACCCACTTCATAGATGAGAAAACTGAGGCACAGAGCTGTTAGGTGACTTGTCCCAGGAGGCCACCCAGTGGGCAGAGTTAGAGCTGGAATCAGAGGCCCCAGCTGGGCAGTGGGCCCTTCAGCCTCAGATCCAGCAGGTTTGTTTAGTTCCTGGCATGGGATGGGGAGGCCTCCAGGGGCTGTCCTGCTATCCTGTTGTTCTTTGGCCCTTGCCCGGTGCAGGACCAGCTGGAGTCTGTGCTGGAGGTATTGCACAGACAGATGGAGCAGTACCGAGACCAGCCCCCGCACCTGGAGAAGATTGCTCACCAGCAGAGGTTGCTGCAGGAGGACCTTGTCCACATCCGGGCAGAGATCTCCAGAGAGTCCACTGTGTGTAGAGGGTGTGGAGGGTGGCAGACACTCCCCTGCCCCCATCTCCCACCCCCAACTGGGCAGGGGGCTGGGCAGGGGGCTGCTTCTCCTATCTCACAAGCTGTAGTTGAGTTGGTGGCCAGGGACGAGTCTTGGAGTAGCAGAACTTCTCCAGGTTGCCTCCTGACGGTGGCTCACCTTGTCCGGGGCTGACGGGTCTGTCTCTGCTGGTACCTCAAGATGCTTTCCATCAGTGACTGCTGTATGGCTACAGTGACACCCAAGGGACCAGATTTCCCTGATCTGTGTGTAGTTAATTCCAAGACATCAGAATTGGTGCAGGCCCTTTCTACCGGGGCTGGGGACCAAAGCATCTCCAGCGGTGGGAGAGGGGACAGTTCAGGTGACAAGGGTCAGAGCAGGAATGAGAAGACAAGCCCTGTCTCTCTCCTCCAAGGCTTGCCTTAGACCTGCTGGGCTCCCCTTCCCTCTTGCCCTGGCTGGGTCAGCAGTGGTCAAGAGCACAGATGCTCATGGGGCCGTCTGGGACACAGGGGATAACTAAAACTCAGGAACATTTCCTTGGCCAACAGGAGATGGAAAATGCCTGGAATGAATATCTGAAGTTAGAGAGTGATGTGGAGCAGCTGAAGCAGACCCTGCAAGAGCAACACAGAAGAGCCTTTTTTTTCCAGGTGACCCAAGGGCGCCTCATCCCTTCTGAGCTCTCTTCCTTCTGAGAGCCTTCACCTGTGGGGCTGTGAGCCCTATCCAGGGGCCTTTTCTTCTTCTACTGGGACTCAGCTTGCTTGCGCCCCCAAGCTCTCCCTCAGGGATCCCTGCCAGGCTGTGATGAGAAAACTCACCTCAGCAACCCCTGCCTCTCTCCTCTCGAAGACAAGTTCTTGGGTTTTTGTAAGGGTTTTACTACTGATCATTTGGGGAAACAGCCCTGAGAGGAAAGAAATACCAAACTTGAGAACCTTACAGACTTGAGAATGATCTATGTTCCTGTGATTCTCTGCCCCATCTTGGCACTACTCACTTAGACAGCAGCAGGAACCCCCAATTCCTTCCTTCCTTCCTCCCTCCCTCTGATTCCTGAAGTTAGATGCTATCAGTCCTTCACCTGAGGAGGTAGTGTGAATCCAGGTCCATCTTGGTCTCCTTGGACCAAGGCCTCTGGTCTCCAAGTGGTCACTTGCGTTTCTGGAGCCAGGCTGGGAGATACCCATCGCTGTGGCCACTGCCCTGCTCAGGAAGGGCAGCTAAGCTTAGAGCCCTGGCTCCTCTACCCTTACAAACCAGGCCATTCCGATGATGGCTGCTTCTGCCCCCAAAGGTGAGAGAAGAAAGGCCCTGTGTGGTTTTTGGTCTTCCCAGTTGGGTCCTGCAGCTGCCCAGTGTTTCCCCATTGTGCCTGATCAGGCTTCTGCCCCACCCTCAAATTTTTTAAAATGGAAAATAACCTGCTTTTGAACCCAGCTTCAGCTCTACCATATCTTCTCTGACATAAATCCAATGTATTTGAAATCAGCAAGCATTAATGGAGACTTCCTGTGCCTGAGGCACCGTGCTAGGCCAATTTTGGTGCTAAGTTTGCTAATCTATGAACTAGTGCTAGCCCAGGCTCTTCCTTCAAGTGATTTCATGAGTATATTGACTCTGGATATCAGCGTGCCCAGAGAGTGAAGGAATTCAGGAGGGGGATTAGGTGTGTGGCCTGGGAAAAGCCTGCTGTCCCTCCACTCACCATTGGGAGCTGATTCCCAGAAAGCCTGGTCCAAGGCCATGTGGAAAAGACGCTTGCCTGTAGCTCAGGGCTGGCCTGCTAGGTCCCCCAGAAGTTGTCCATCTCCTGCTGCTGCTGCTGTTCCCCCCCCCCATAATTTCCCTGTATCCAAGCTAACATTTTCCTATTCTTATTTGGTACCCCAGCACTTGGCATAGTGGCTTGAAAATACTAGGTGAATATTGTTGACAGTGTCTTTCAAATGATTATTTCTAGTTACTAGTTCCTTAAACTATTCTATCCCATTATACTTATCTGCTTGGATTTTCTTTAATTAATTTTAGCAGTGATTTTTTTTTTTTTTTAGCTTTTCATTCCTTGTGTTTCTATAACTATAAAAATAACACATGAATGCATCTCTCCAAAAAGGCCAAACAATAAGAAGCAAAAGCAAAAAATGAAATAAAAGCTCCCCTGCCTCTCTTCCCTTTCCCATCACCTTCCCTGTATGTAATCCGTGCCATCACTATGTGGTATCGCCTTCCATACCATCTTCTGTACGTTTTCAAACATATGCCCATCCATATAGAGTCATATAATTTATTTGGAGATGGGAGTTGGATTTACTTAGAGAGGAATCATACTTACACATCGTTCGGTAACTTGCTTTTTTGTCATAACCTCATGTTGTGGAAATCTTTCCAGGAAAGATACCCCCAAGTTTATGTTGCCTGATACAGTCGCTATTTAAGTGTAAACATAAATTAATTGAAATTAACTAAAATTAAAAATAGATTCCTCAGTCACACTAGAATCTTTTCAGGTGCTCAGTAGCCACATGTGTCTAGTGGCTACTGTATTGAACAGCACAGATTATAAGATTTCCATAATCTCAGAAAGCTGTGTAAAGTAAAAGAAATTAGTTCCTAGCTGCTGCATAGTATTTCATAGTCTCAATATTCCATACTTTAGCCATTCTTTTCTGATGGGCATTTAAGTTATTTGCAGTGTTTTGCTTTTATAAATGATACCACAGTGAGCATCTATCTAACTGCCCTTTCAAACTCATTTATAAGCATTTATCGAAGATGCACTCCTAGGGTGGACTTGCTAAATTGAAATGAGTGTACATCTTAAATGTTGGTGGATGCTGGCCAATCACCCTCTAAAAGGCTGCACTCATTTGCCCTCCCACTCACGGTGAATGAGGGTGCTGAGCCTGTTTATCCACATCCTCTCCAGCACTTGATGTTATCAGTCTTTTTAGTCTTTGCCAGTCTGCTGGCTGAAAAAGGACATCTTGTTTTAATTTGCATTTATTTAATTACTAGCAGGTTAAACATCTTTTTATATGGTCATTGGCCATTTGTGTTTCTACCATGCCTTATTTCATGGTGACTTAATATACCACAGTCAGAGAATCCCTTTTTCTGCCCTGGAAAACAAATGGGTACAATGTACACGTCTTGTCACGGACTCCCTGAAGAACTTAACCACGTAAGTAAGTTACGAAGAGATAGGCTAGTTTGAAGCCTAGCTCTGCAACTTGATTTCCACCTAGCCTGGTGTCGTAGCTCATGCTTTCCCCGATTGCCACAGTGATCTGGGAAGCTCACAAAGCCCTTCTTTGAACAGCCTTTGTGCTAACTTCTTTGGTGTAATTCTAGGCCAGGCAAGCTGTTAGAGTCCTGAATAAATCATGAACAGTGGAGATATGTGTGCAGCCCCATATACACATTCTCAGGAACGGAGCTTGGAACCTGCCTCCCTTTAGCCAGGTTTGGCTGTGAGAAAATTCACAGGCTTTTCAGTAAAGATGAGTGGTTTTATTTATAAAGATCCTTGTGACTCCCTGCACAGGGAAGCCGGAGGATAAAAGAACATTGAGGTAACTGTGAGAGACTGATAGTGAGGCTACCTGTGTGTGTCCCTGCTTCTGAACAATGAGTTCAGGCGTTTGCTGAATGCAGTCCATAGGAACCTTTCTGCCCAGCATGGTGTGAGGATCCAGGGATGAAACAACACCCCCTGCTTTCTAAAAACTTTCTTCACCTTGTTATTAAGTTCTGAAATTCCATCGTCCTTGAAGAACCTTAGAGGTTCTCTGGCTTTTGCTTGTCCTTGCTCTTCTCTTACATGTGGGGGTGACAGAAAGGCTAAATGGGGGCAGGACTGTAAACTAACAGGTAAAAACATGCCAGGTAGACTGCCAGAGGAGAGGGGAGAGAGTTGATTTTAATCTGATGCTCCTCCTTTACCTGTTCCCAGCACTCTACTTGGGGACCTCTGCTCCTGAGATAATCCTGGTCGCACGCGTGCACACACACGCTCTGGGTTCAATACTATGTCTGTCGTGCTTTGGTGTGGAGCTGAGCATCAAGCCCGTTCCTTATTTATCAGCCCTGAGGATGTGCGCTGGTGTTGGAAGGGTGGAGAGAGTGTGAGAATGTGAGCTCCCTTAGGAGGGAGGCTTCGGACATCTGTTGTCTCAGCTGTTGGACAACATTTGATCAGGGAATTTTATGTGATTGGGGCCCTTTTTTTTTTATGTTATGCTAGTCACCATACATTACATCATTAGTTTTTGATGTAGTGTCCCATGATTCATTGTTTGCCCATAACACCCAGTGCTCCATGCAGAACGTGCCCTCTTTAATACCCATCACCAGGCTAACCCATCCTCCCGCCCCCCTCCCCTCTAGAACCCTCAGTTTGTTTCTCAGAGTCCATAGTCTCTCACGGTTCGTCTCCTCCTCTGATGTCCCCCCCTTCATTCTTCTCCTCCTGCTATGATTGGGCCTTTTTTCACTCACCATCTATGTGCTGAGAACCTGTTGGGTACCCAGGCCTGTGGAGATATACCAAGGGCACATAGTCTACTTGTAGAATCAGGAAAGTCCTTAAGTATCGCACATGTAAGAATTCTTCCACTCGAGGGTGGCTGGGTGCCTTGAGAGGACATGGGGTGTGAAGCCTTTGTTTTTAAGTCCATGGGGAGTGATCAAGGCTACCTTCTCCCACGACAATTTAAAAATTAAAAGAATATTTGATGTTTAAACAACTCTATTAAAAGGTGTCCACAGGGTAATACCCAAAATATATAAAGGACTTATACAAGTCAACACCAAAACAAACAAGCAAACAAACAAAAAAACAACCCAGAGAACAAAAAACATTTAAAAATGGGCAGAGGACCCTAATAGACATTTTTCCAAAGATACACAGATGGCCAACAGACACATGAAAAAATGCTCAAGATCAGTCATCATCAGGGAAATGCAAATCAAAACCACAGTGAGATCACCTTATACCTGTCGGAATGGCTAAAATCAAAAAGATAAGAAATAAATGTTGGTGAAGATGTGGAGAAGGAGGACCCTCATGTACTATTTGGTGGGAGTGTAAATTGGTGCAGCCACTCAGGAAAACAGCATGGAAGTTCCTCAAAAAAAATTCGAAATGCCATATGATCCAACAATTCCTCTACTGGGTTTTTAGGCAAAGGAAGTGAAAACACTAATTTGAAAACATATATGCACCCCTCTGTTTATTGAAGCATATTTACAATAGCCAAGATATGGAAGCAACCTAAATGTCCATTGCTAGACAGATTTCTAAAGAAGATGTGTTATACACACACACAATGGAATGTTATGCAGTTATAAAAAAGATGAGCTCATGCCGTTTGCAAGAACATGGATGGACCCAGAGGGTATTATGCTAAGTGAAATAAGTCAGACCGAGAAAGACAAATACCACATGATTTCAGTCATGTGGAATCTAAAAAACAAAAGACTAAACAAAAAAAGAATCAGAGCTATAAGCACAGAGAACAAACTGATGGTTGCCAGAGGGAAGGGGGTTGGGGGTAATGCACAAATCAGGTGAGGAGGAGTGGGAGGTACAGGCTTCCAGTTATGGAATGAATAAATTGTGGGAATAAAAGGCACAGCATAGGGAATATAATAATATTGTAATAGTGTTGTATCTTGACAGATGGTAGCTACA